GGGAGGAGCATCGGTTCAGGAGATAATAATAGAGCACGGTGCGCTTCAACCAAAGCTGTCTCGTCTCGCAAAGAGCAAACGGGGTGCGACCGCCGCGTTTCCCACGCACGGCACAGATTGCGCTGTCAGCGGGACGTGCTGGAGCTGTGACTCCTTCTCCTCCCTGCCCTGCCGGGCCATATGGCCCCGTGGCAGCGCCACCATCCCTGCTTCCTACCCGGCTCCCAGGAGGAGCCGGGGCAGCAGGTAAGCGGGCAGCGCGCGCCTGGCACACGGCAGAGCACATCAGCCCCCAATGCAGGCTCTTTCCTCTGCCCAGCGCCTACTTTTATAAACCACGCGGGAACGGGTTATTTTAGGGACTGCTCCTGCTCTGCTCTCTGAACCTGCCGAGAGGCTCCAAGATGTTAGACAGGGACAGGGAGCTGACACACAAGCAGGTAGCACGAGTACTTGGGAAATGGGCCTTAAACAACAACAAAAAAACCCAACAGCAACAAAAAGATCAACTAAAGAAGGAATAATTCCTCTTCTACAGACAGCAAGCAGGTCACAGAGCAATGAATGTTTTACCCTGGAAAGCAGCCTGGAAGCAAGCCTGTACGTCCTCATCCCTGGCCGCAGCCTCCTCGTGGCTGTTGCCCCAAGGTCGGCTGTGAAACCAGGCGCCCCGGTGCTCCCAGCCCGCTCCTGCCCTGTTGCCAAAAGACTCTCTCTCATTCCTGGTCTGGTTCCCAATAAGTCCCCCAAACATGAGCTTTGTCAAACCCGAGCCGCAGCTTTGCCCTGCTCGAGCAGTCGGGCCCCAGCAGAAGAAAGCCCGGGGTGCAGGCAGCAGAAGCACAGATACCTTATCAGCCCTGCCCAACACGTGGGGCACCAAGGGCCAGGCTTGAACCCTGGCTATGCCTGGGTTTAACCCCTCTGCTCGCTCCGGAAAGCGCCTGCGAGTTAACTGCCTTGTCCTAGAAGAGGTACGTCCTGGTTAAAGCAAGGAGCAGCAGCAAGAGGAGTTCCCCTGCGTTCACCCAGGTAGAAAAGGGCCGGGGGGCCTCCAGCAACTTTGACTGCAATTTTAAGGATTTTGTGGCAAGATAATCCCCATCCTCTTCCCAAGGACAAAAAAGAAAGCAAGAAGATGAAGTCCGTCTCATGCATAATAGGAGAGGGGCGGATTTTTAAAAGTCTCCAAAAAACAAAAGATTTACTTTCCTCTCAAACAAATTACCCTACAAATCCAGCTGCTTGGTCTGGCCCAAAAGCATATTTCTGGTCTCTAGTAGGGAGGAAAGGAGGGAAGACAGATAGATAGATAGATGACCCCAGTACCTTATTGTAGCTGGCATGCCAGGGCAATGGCTCTAAGCAGTGATGGTCTCAGAGGTTCAGGCTGGAAATGCTCACAGGTGATTCCCATGTCCACCCCCACTTGGCTCTGCTCCGGCCTCCTGGTTGCTGCGTTCAGCTGCCCAGGGCTTGCGTTTCATTCGATCTGACCTACCTTCTCCCCACCCCCCCCACCACCCCATCCTTGGCCCATACACCACCTTTATTTATTTGAGCACCTCTCAACAAGATGTCATTCCTTTTGTCTCCCCGCTCTGGGACACGTTTGGATTATCTGCACACCAAGCCTTGCAGCAGCAGCCAGGGCATCGCGAATCCCAGCAGCGCCTGCTCTTCCCAGGGCGTGCTGAGGCTGCAGCCGCTGCTACGCAGCTCAGCTGCCGTCCGGTGTCTCGGGAGCGGACTGAGGAGCGACTCAGGGAAAGCTCAGGCAAAGAAAAAAGGTGAAGCAGGGTCTCAAAGCCAGCAATAGTGGGGTTTTTTGTTTGTTTGGTTGGTTTTTTTAAGCCATAGGTCTTGAAGTTGGGTGTTTAGGAGCAATAATGCAGCCACCTCTCTTTCCATTTGACTTGGAAGCTTTTTAGTCTTTGCTACGAGCTCCTAAGCACCTCCTAGGAGCTCTGAAGTCAAATACAGCAAACTCAGAGGGTTTCTCAAATTCTTATTCTCTGGCCAACCACCAGAGAGGCTGTGGGAGCTTCATCCTTAGAGAAGCTTGAAGCTGCTCCGGGTTGATCCTCACCCCCAAGCTCTGCTCTCAGCTGGCCAAGGCCAGGTGCCTAGCACGGTGCCGCATTGAAGTGGCTGCCCTCTCCCGCCGTCCCATAGCGGCATTGACACGGATGAAACACGGGCAGCTCTCGCCGACTGCAGCCTGCAAGCGCGGGGCGAGCCGTTCTGTTGCTGCCCTGTGCTTAGCCTTAGCCCTGCAGAAGGGGCTGCCGAAAACTGTTGTGCCAAGAGTGAAGCTGAAGGGCCTGATTTTGCTCTCAGAGAACTGATTCGGGCACTGAACAGGCCTAGCAGGGCAGAGGGGGGCGAGGAAAACCTCGGACTGTGGTGCAAACCTGAAAAGTCTTGGGTCGCACTGGGTTTCGATGATCCTTCTGTTTTCTGTTGTGGATCTTCCAATAATTATCCTCCATATTTCACTTGGCAGACAAAATTCACTGCATTGTCACTCCAGCACCAAACCATGCACTCTTCATTGTATGAAAAGAGATGAAAAATATATCATGCTTTCCATGCCTGCCAGCTCCAGGTAACGTTCAATGCCTCATGCAGATCTCAGCTGGCAGACCTGAAGAGCTTTTTTCTCACGGCAGATCAAAGCCCCTTCCTGCTCATTTCAGGGGTGAAACCCCCAAGGCATTTGTGAGAAGTGTTTGCTGCAAATAGCAATGATCTACTGCAAATCACAACGGGCAAGTCAGCATGGAAGAGGTGAGCATCACCTTGAAACATCTTCAGGATCAACAGTAAATCTTGCTTCCTGGGTCTAAATAATTCAATCTATTTTTTCCCCCTAGTTGCTTCCCTCAGTTGCGGTACTTCTGCATCTAAGGGGTCCATTTGGAGGAAGATTTGGCCATAATATCCAAAGATTTCCAAGAGTACTCCTATAAGCTAATTACATACATCGAATAAAGGACTTTGCCTACTTACCTGACAATCTCCCTTAGTCCGGGCTCTGCCACTGCTGGCAGTCGAGGAGAGGAGGCAGCTGATGGGGAGCCCAGCTTGCCTTGATGGCTGCAAAGCTGGGCAGTAGCTGCGTGCGCTGAGATGGAGCGTGAGCACGCGTGTACACGCTGCACTGCAAACAAGGACACAGTTTAAGGTGCAGGCCTCTTTCTTTTCTGAACCTGCAACCCAGCAGCACCGACCAAACGATCTTTTTAAGAAGCCCGTGAGATCCAAAGCGTTGCAAACGCAGCAGTGGCAGCTGGCACTCTGCACGCAGACACGTGCCGTTCATTACAGCAGTTTCCGGAGGAGCCGTCACCTTCTCCCGTGGCCCAGGAGTGAAACACGAAGAAGGTAGGGAGGAGAAGGTGGGCAAGGCATCACCTGATTCGCTCCCCCGCACACGGCAGCACCTGGGGGCTGAGACGTGCGTCTGGGGCGGGGAAGGAGCTCACCAAGAAGCGGGAGAAACGGTTTTGCTCCTTTTCCTGAATCTGTTGCTGGGTGCGAACATCCGCTCAGGCAGTGGCTGTGGCGGGGGGGGAAAGCTCCTGGGTGCCGCGATGGATGGGGACAGAGATGGAGAGCTGGTGGCCACCCCATTTCCTCACCTAAACCCCAGCAGTGAATCCACCTGTCTCAAGCTTCTGTGCTGTTGAGTTCATCCGTGTTCCTCATCGAGGGAGAAAAGATCCCGGGCCTGGAACTCAGTGTTCTCTCTCCAATAGGTCACTTTTGTTACTTTACAGCATATATTACTTTTGAGTGCTTTCACCACTCCTCTGACGAACTCTTCATGCTCCGCTGAGCAGAGGGGTCGTGGGGAAATCACGCTGCAATCAACTTCAAGAAGACATTCACATCATGTTGGTTTAGGTGGAAACAGTAAACTTGATTTATTGAAAAAAATCTATTACATTTATTCCTTTATTACACAGGTTTAAAATATTTAAAAATAGCTCTTATGGGCATTACACTTAAATTTTATGACATGTTTATTGGACTTTGAAGAAATGTACAATATGTCATTTGACAGTATATTTTAAAAAGGGCCTTATGAACTAAAAATTTTTTTCCATAGGTTTATTTTTCTTATCAACATTTGTTCAAGTCATATATATTAAGGGAGGAGGGAAATAAAATTACACAAAAAGAATGTCTGCAAATACAAGTAGTAATTTTATTGCAATATACCGTAGCTAAGTGGTCTGGGGAAATTGGAACAGTTTTGAACTTCAGTACAATTACAACACTGTGGAAGTCAACAGAGGAATTTTTTTTTTCTTAAAGCAAAGAAATAGAAGGAAAAAAAAAAGAAAAAAGCTCCCTTGATGAAAATTCATGGTAACAGAATCACATGACCTAGACGCACTCGCACGTGTGTACATACATCGAGATATGGCTTTTCTGTGGCAGAGAGGAATGCGCAACCTTTTCTGACCTTCCCACTGCTCCTGTACGAGGCTCTCGCCAAGGTGAACTAGAAGCTGAGTCCTGATATATATTATACACTTGTTTTCACTGCTTTGCTGCTGGAGTCTGCAGTGTTTAGGGTAGCACCTTTATTTTTTTCCCTAAGTGGGGAAAAAAAACAAAACAAAACAAAACAGAACACGACACGACAAGGGAGACAGATGTACCTGGCTCTCAGAGAGGGAAAAGCACCGCGCGGCCCCGCAGCGTCGCAGCCTCTGCCGCCGTCCTCGAGCACGACGGCCCTGGGAACGGCGTCGCCTCCCCGCGCTCGCCTACCGCCGCTCTCTGCTTGGGAAGGAGGGGGGGAAAAGACATCATATATAGGCTTTTATTCACAGTAAATGTGATGTCATTTCCATTACGGTGACAGATCCCCCTGGGCTCAAGCGTGCTGTAATACTCCAGGCCAAATAAAAACCCTGCAACATCTTATTTTCCTGTTGAGAGATCTAAACAAGGAATTGGCCAGGGAAAAAGGAGGGGGAAGGAGGAAGGAGAAAAAACAAAAAAAAAAAGAAAAAAAGAAAGGGGATGCTGGTGTCAGCAGGCTGCAATCTGAAAACGCCGCGTGAAAAAAGCCATCCCGGCAGCCGTCGTGGGAAGACAAAGAAAATTGCACGCTCCGGGCAGCCTGGCTGCAGGAGCTGCTCCGGAGGCGCTCGCAGCCGAGGCCGCGAGCGAGCCAGACAACCGGGCAGTTTCATCCTCACGTCAGTACATCGAACAAATACATAAATTAGCACCACAAACATTCAGCGACTGAGTACAATCTGGTATGATTACCACCGTATAAAATGCATGAATATTCTTTCCCAAAAAAGAAAAAAAAGCACATTTAATACTTTCTACATGGGCCATATGAGCTACCATAATACAATTAAGAAAAGCAGCAGGTCTTCTACATAGCAAATATGAAGGTGGCATGCATTTATAATCAAAGACTGTAGCAAAGGCATGCAGTCTGCATGGGAGAGTGGCTAAAGCAAAGGATGCTGGCAGACTGGTCAATGGCAGGGTATCACCAGTGTTGCATTAAAGGTATTCAAACAGATAGCACCACAAAGAGAAATGTAAAAGCAAAGAGCACCTTTTTTTTTTTTTTTCTCTTTTTTTACACTCTATATTAAGAGAGGACAAATGGATTTTCCCTGCCAGTCCAATCTGCCACTAGGAATGGATTTGTTTTTTTATTTTAGAAGAATGTTCGGGGGGAAGAAGGCAAGAAAAATTAATTTAAACCATGTATGTTAAGGCAAGCAAGTGTATAAAAAGGCAGAGGTTCAAACTGGATCCCGTTTTTAAATCAGGGTTTGGTAGAAACCTTGTTAAAGAGTGGCTTTATTATTATTATTACTTTGGAGCGAATCATTCCAAAAACATATCTGTGGCTCTGGGGTTGGTTCGCCACTCCTTTGGCCCCCGTCCTGCAAAGACTTGTACCTCAGCTTAACTTCAAGCACAGCGCACGAGCAGCCCCTTCCGCCGCAGGCTTTGGGTTACGAACGGGCAAGCGACGGCTGGGGCCGGGGCCGGGCCCAAAGCGGCGCAGCGGCGAGCGTACCACTCCGCGTTTCTAGGTGGATGCATGGTTGGGACGCGAGTGAGAGCTGTTGTTTCGATACAGACAGGGTCACATGCATGTTTTGAAGCCAGAAACGTTTAAACATTTAAAATAATATACAATACAAATATTTACTTACAAACATACAAAAATATAAGCACCTTTAACACATGGGAAGGAGATGCCCAGTGTGACTTTTTGCTATCAAATTCATCGGGTTAATTTTTCGTAAAAAAAAAAATTAGGTGATTAAATGGAGGCATTGAAAACTCTGGAAATGGCCATTACTTCTGCTTGCTAGACCTGATCCAAATCTCACAGAAGTCAACAAAAGGACTCTGATGAACTTCAGCAGGGTTTGGATTAGAGCCAGGGCTGTCATGATTTCAACGTCAAGTTGAACGCAGGAGTTTCAAGTTTTTTCCGTTTTCCTTAGAAACAAACAAACAAAAAATAACCTATAAGCAAGCGCTTGGTGTCATTTCACGGCAAGAAAAAGTCTTTGCTCTGTTTCCATTTCCGGATACCCAAGTGGAGGCGGTGGAGTCCGTTCGATGGCTGCGAGCGAGAAGCTGTGGGAGACAAGGTGCCGCGGCCGGGAGCGGGGCGCGGGGCCGGCTCGCTCTGCCACGCGTGCTGCGCTCAGGTCATGCGATTCTGCGCCCGTTGCGGGAACGCTTCTCTCGGTCGGCGATTCGGTACGTGTGGGTGCAGTGGCACAGGAGAACTCGGGCGAAACGAGGAACAAAACAAAACCAAAAAAAATAACCCATCACTGTCCAGTTTCAGAACGTGCATGTGACAAGGATTTTCTTTCTTTCTTTTTTTTTTTGTTTTTTTCTTTTTGAATTCATTAAATGGCGCAATGAGGTTACGAGGTTGCTCATTTGGAGACTAGTTTTCAGGTGGCTCTTAGCCCAAGAAGCAAGCTGGTCCCACCTCGAATCCAAATTTCTGTGACGCTTCTCCAAAGTCATTGAACATGATGTCGACTATAGGTACTTGCTCTACTTTGGGCGTGCTGATTTCCAGAATAGTCTTCTGATAGCCTTTCTTTGCCTGATGGGGAGAAGAGGGAGAAAGACAAACTCTGATGATGCCTTTGACACAGAGACATCAAGTTAGTGCTAACAAGCATCTGCTGGTCACCTGGGAACATGGAGATGATCTCGCCTAGGTGCTTTCTGAACTGATCCACAGGGACCCAGCACCCAAAGCCAGTATGTTTACCCTGCAGATTTAGCAGATATGTTTGCAAGGGTGCAACTGCACCATCCCTATGAACCAAAGGCAAGCGCGGTGGGCTGGCTGGATTGTTTGGGTCTACATGCTCCACAAAGACACACATGGCAAGGCAGGAGTCTCTGCGCTCTCGTATCAGTCATGGCTATGGAAAACCGAGGACAGCACAAAGATGGGAAAGCTCAGCTGGGATGGCAGCATGCCGTGGACAATCTTACACGGAGGGAAGGCGTAAAACAAGGAACCTGGCTTGCAGAAATAAAGACAAGTCAAACAAAACACTGGCCAGAAGGACAAAGCGTAAAGCGATTCAGCAGCAACTACAGTCACAATTAATGACCTCTGTGGGGTACGGCCGGTCCCCAGCACCCACAACTGCGGAGGGATGGCTTGCGAGCAAAACTGGAGAGAGATTACCGGCCTCAGCATGGGCTCTGGAGCAGAAAAAGCTGTTGCCATGCAGATCTAAAGGCACTAAGTGTGTCTTTTCAGCACATCTCAGAGCTGGAACAGGGGACCAGTAAAACTGTGGCTGTGGTATAGTTGTTTTGCCTCCCGGAGGACACGCATGGGTTGTTGAGCAAACGTGAGCGATGTAATTTGAATATATTAGTTTGACTAGTATCCGAGCGCTACTGAAAAAGACCGCATTTAAAGTTTGATGGAATTCACAAGGTGAGGTTGTCTTTTTATCATGCCTGGTGGCCATACAGTTACTCTCGAAATATAAATAATTATTAGAGGAGCAGAAGTACACCCAAGGGCATACAAAACTGCACAAACAAGTGAATTTATGGAGCAGCTTTTGGCTCTACCTTACCCTCTGATTCGTGAGTCTCAAAAGAATAGGCTATATCATGGCTACTGAGAAAGGGCTGTAAGATGAGGAAAAACACATCCACATAACAGCCCAAACATTAGCCCTGAAATTCCCCTGGCATTTGCTACGACAGCCTCCATCACGGCGGGAGCGCGGGTCGGACCAGGACCTCCGCAGCATCCGCCGCGTTGCTCAGCCAGGCTTCCTTTTTCAAACAGTAGGGCTCGATCCTAGATCTCCTGCGGTTCAGGGAGGAGGCCCTGCCGAAGGAGCAGGAGCGCTGCCTTCTGCAGGCGCTGGGCTCGCGAGGACGGGCTGCAGGCGGAGGGGCCTCGCTCCTGCCGCGTCCGCCCCCGAAGGAGGGGGCGAGCCCAGCCCACCCGGATACTTCTTGCACCTTCCCTAGGGGTAGCAGATGGAGGCATGCCTGGTTTGGAAATGATGCTGAGTGCTCTAAGCTGGGAGCGCCGCGCCGGCACCGAAGCAGCACACCGGGGCCCCGAGCTCGTTCAGGCTCCCCCAGGGCTCCCGCACCGCTGGTGGCTTCCACTGCAGTCCCTGCTGCTTATTTTCTTGCTACAATCTTTTCTTCGTGACATTGAGACTGGTTAACATCAGGCTGCATTACGGCTTCTCCTGAGAAACCACCGTGGCAAACAGACTCAGAGGAGGTGCCATCCTGTTTCCTTGCAAATATCCCTCATTAGAGGGAAGAGCAATATAGGGAGGGCACCTGAACAGAATCACTTAAACTGAAAGTGTTTTCATCAGACACCTCAGCCTTAAAATTTGTGCCACGTGATCTTGCAGCATCCCTGACACTTAACAAGGAAAAGGGAGGGGAAAGCTTTTTTTGTTCTGAGGGCACACTGCATTATCAAGAGACACAAAGTACTTGAGGCTAAACTTCCCCATGTGGCTTCTGAGGGTTTGCAGTAGAGGAACGAATGCCCTTTCCCTCTCTGCAATGCCATTAAGAGAGTAAGCGATTCTGATTTGATTTTCCTCGTTACTGCTACAATAAAAAACGCGTGTCTGCCAGCACAGAATCACTTTAATCTCAGATTATGTGGAGTCTCTATTTTTCAGTGCCGTGGGCTTCGATCATTGCAGTTGCAAAGGGTGAAAATTATGCACGTTTTGTAGCAGCAGCAAACTGGGACTCAAAATAAATGCAGCTGGAACTTGCCTTGCCAAATTTTCAGCTCCTGAGGGCACATTTTTTCAGAGCTCAGTCCCAGTTCAGGTACCCGACAGAGGGAAGCAGGAGCCAAGGCTGGATGCTGAGCCCCTCTGAAAGCTCTGGCCGCTGTTTAGTGGCCAAAGCGAGAGGGAGCAGCAGCCTGGCTTACGCGTGCATGGGGGGGGAGCGGGCTGGAGCTTAAACCCAGGGGGAAAAGGTAACGGGGAACAGAGGTGAAGAGACCTGCTAAAAGTCGCACGCGAATGCTGAAGCAGGGCAGGCTGCAGCTGCCCCGGCTCCTCCGCTTACAGTTAGGTCTCGCTTTGGTTTGCCCTTCACCGAGGGGCCAGCGGCTCCCACGCGGAGCCCGCGCTCGCACGCTCAGGACAAGCCGAAGCGTCGCGTGGCAGCTCCGTCGCCGATCCGGAGAGTGAAGCCGCGCAGGACATGCTGGCTGTAACCCGGCCGCCAAAGGCCAAACCCCTTAATGCTCTGCCTCCAGCGTTTCCTGAAAGCGCTTAGCAAAACTATGCTCCAAGCCTGCAAACCTCCCGTAAGGCCGGGTGTCGTTGCTCGCCTCTTCCCCCCGTGAGTACACGCGGGGAGAGAAAGGATAAGGTGGACCACTCGAAAAGCAGCCACTCATTTCAAGCAGGGTCCCCCTTCCTTCACGCGGAGCCAACGAAAACCGAAATGAAGGCTGGGTCCTAGAGGTGCTGAGGAGCTACAGCCTCCGCCGCCCCCGAGCGGAGTCACGTATCCCCGGCACGGAGTAAAGCAGGTTCTGCATCTCTCCTGGTGGCACCAAACCTCGAGGCCGCTAAATCAGTGGGTGCAGAAATTTCAGCAGCGGGGTGCTCGCAGAGGGTCCCTGCGGGCGGCCAGGGCAAGGGACACTCACCGCGCAGCCGTCGACGGCAGCTCGGATGTAAGGGTTGTTGTCGTAGGACATCTCCTCGTCGTTGGAGCCCAGGAAGCGCATGGCCTTGTCGTAGCTGTCCGTGGTGGCGTCGTGCCAGGCTACGGACTGGTAGCAGTTGTAGGTGATGTTCTGGTGGGCCGACGCGCTCAGGAGCCTCAGGAAAGTCATCTGCACTACGCCGATGGGGTTCCCGTCCGAGTCCACGTAGGAGAGCTGCAGGAAGGGGAAACACTAGGCCGTGAGGGGAGACGCGGCACGTTTGGGGAGCTCAGGGGACCGCGGGGCCTCACCCATCCTCGTGGCCCTGGGCACGTGCTCCCACCGCACCACATTGCACAAGGCTGCTTCAGCCGCCGTGCTGCCAGGGCACGGCTACCGAGGGGCACTTCCTTCCCTTTGCTGGCTGTAGTCGCTCTGAGAGTTAAGAAAAACTAGGCTAAAGCAGGGCAAGGCAGAGAAAGGACGGGGACATTTCAATCCTGGTGAAACAGGGGTGTTGCAAAAGGGTGCAGGGCTGAACTAGGGATGTGCATCTTGACTTTAGTAAAGCAGTTACTGAGCACACTTCTCCAGCTTGTGAAGAGAGGAGAAAGCAGATTCATGTAATAGTTCAGGGCTTTATTTCCCTGCCTTGTTTGACATGACTGCCTGACCTCTGTGGTATCTTGTCCTGCACACGCTGGGGTATTTTCCCATTCATCTCTCAAGGCATCGTCTCTTAAGCAAACTTTACACCTAATCTGCAGAAATTCTCTTCCTGCTGCTAAGGGCTCTGGCTGCCGTGGTCGGGAAAGGCTGCGCTCAGCGAAAGGGAAGGGATGTTGGCTATCCTCGGAGCACGTCACGAAACGTCCAGCCACGCAGCCACCCTCGCACAGGCATCTGCTCCGTTCTGCCCACCAGACTCCCTTCTCTAATACATTTCTGCAAAACACAATTTATTGAAATCCCCTCCAACACCTTAGGATTCAGGCCTGGTGATAAGGCCGAGGAAGATGGGACTTTCGTATACCACCAAGGAAGCAAACGCTTCACGGGCCAGCGAGATTGCTTATGCAAACTAATTGTACTTGAGGCGGCATCTCCAGCCACGGCCAAGCTACAAGAGCTGCTGTTCACAACTGTGATCTCTAGACAGCTGATTTCTTTTGAAACGACTGGGAGAAAAATTCAGGTACGCAAACAGCGTAGTGTTCTTCGAGGTACCATAAAACCATCAAGCTGCGGTGCGAGCTGCAAACAGTAGAAGAGATTCATAACCAGACAATACAATCACGAGTAAAAAGGTAGTAAAAATAAATAAATATACCAACCGGTTGTCAGGATACCGTTGCACTGTCCTCCTGAGAGCTAAATATGACTGAACACGAGAAAGCCATACATGCCAGATGTAGAGAGATACCAGAGAACCACCAGGACATTGAAGGAGGGGAACACAAAATGCTGACTACTTAGCACACGCTCAGTGACACACAGCCCTGCTGGTCAGCAGGACCCAGCTCTCCAGGGGATCTCATTTCAAATTAGCATTCAGTTTGGGAGGCTGACTGCTTTTTAAGGGCAGCTGCTGCTCTTTCTTCCGCAAATTGCATAAGGTCCTTTCCCCAGTTTTGAAACCCCAGCCAATGGGAACCGGTTGTGCACACAAGGCTTGCTCGTGGAAACACAGTTTTGCAAAAATCAATCTTTTTTCTGTGTGATAGTATTTGCTCTTGACAGATGCCATACGGCAATGAACGATAACAGAACCGGGTGGAAGGCCTTGTTAGGGCTAGTGGGAGTTATGTGCACACATGTGTAACACAAGAGGAAAGCAGAGTCCTCAAGAAAGCATCTCTAACCCTTTTATCCCTCTAAATGCAGTTCGGCTGCATCATGAGAAATAGTACAAAATTAACCGAGAGAACTCTGCGTTCCTCAGATATCGATCAGTGACGGTGTGGAAACATCAAAACAAGATGGTTTCTCTGTATTTCAAATTTACTATGTCCTTTCTGCTTCAAATGTCCCCAGAAGAAAGGCAAGCATCGCCTGCATTTTACGCCTTGTACACTTAAGCACTGAGATTCATATTCAGCCACCTACAAATGCAGCCTGCGTTCTTGGCAGCACCGAGCACTGGCTGCTCCCATCCATATGCAGCCCATTGGAAATCTCCCATGGGCTCCAGAGAGCCTTCGGATCAACAACCCACAGAGCACCAGGTCTGGGCTGTGGGGAAAGACACCAGGACCTTCCCCATGAAGTCACAGCAGCAAGACTGGACCCAACAGAAAACTCAGACTCACTTATCCAGACACATTTCTCTCCAATTTACCAATCCCATAGTTCCAAACCACTGACCGGGGCAAAATTAAAAAAAAAAAAAAACCCAAAAAACAAACTACTTTTACGCCTTGTGTGCTTAACAGTATTGTGTTCTACTGAAAAATGTCTTCTATGTGCTGGTGGCTTTTTTTTTTCTCCTCCAAACAGTAAATGCAGGATAGGTAAAAAGCAAGAAAATGGCAACACAAAGATGGAACAAAAGGCTCCAAGTAGCACTGGAATTCCTATTTAAAAAACAGGCCCTAAAATCTAGGTTGGCAATTCGGCCTCTAAAGTAGCTGACAGACTGGAAAAAGCAGAGAAGATGGAGAAGAGGAGGTACTCATAATATTAATTGGTGAAGTGCTCCATAATTAAGCTATGAGCAATTGCCCTCCAAGTTGCTAAGAGGCTGAAGCCTTGGCTTTATGGCCTTATTCAACGATGCAGACACAGCTACAGAAGCCATTGCCTTCTTGTGGGCAGAATCAGAGCATGTGTGTTTAGCAGCACGGAAATGTGGCATAAGAAAACGACGTGGTGCTTTTCCTTAATTGTTTGCCTTTTAAGGTGGAAGTTTCTGTGTGTGGCAAAACACCTCTGTGCTGGTGGTGGGATAAAGGATCACTAACTGAGCCAGCTCTCAGCTGGGATGCATCAGATCACCTCCAATGTCTTTTCGTGGGCCTGTTGGTTTTGCCCGCTGCATATTCACCTCTTTTTAAATCCTTCTGATTTGACTGAGCTCCTTAGCTACATCCCACTAATCCTACAGAAACTGATACACAAGCAGGACACTTCTGTTGCTGAAGGAGATCCAGCTCACATCAGTCATTAGCTCCTCTGCGATCCCTGACCAAAGCTTGGCCTCTGTGAGACAAGTGATGACTGTCCTGTTGTAGCATCAAATATTAGACATTTATTTAAGTGTCTCAGTGTCTTGCTTTCTTGCTGACAACATGTCTTGTTTGATTCCAAGACAGTTTTTTTTTCCCCTTTAAAAATCGTTAATCGTGACAAGTCAAGTTCAAGGCCAGCGTGCTTGACAAAACTTGCCTGGTTTGAAATCTTCCTTTAAATTCATGACTTCACCTCTCCCAAGCTAAGGCACGGTGTGGGGCATGAGACTCTACTGCTAGGACAACCTAACCCACACTGGAGAGGGAAAGATCCACAAGCTCAGCGGCAACTCTGGGATGCGCCGACCAAGGCGAATAACGCACGCGGGCTGCGACTCCGCGCAGCGCCCAGTTCCAGCCTGGAGCGTCATGTAAGAAGCCTCCCAGCTCCTCTCAGGATAAGGCTATGCTGCTTGCGGAGCAGCAGCATGAAGGCACCGCTTGCCCTTGCGGTACCTGGACCTGCTTAGGAAGCAGCAAAAGCCCTATTAGAGGAGCACAGGGCTTCCCCGGGCCTGGTTCACCCCGCTGCAAGTGCCCTGCTGGGGCATATCTGCAAAGGCTCCAGATCTGCAACGCACAGAAGCACGTGTCAGGGGAAGGCTCATCTGCTGCTCCCAGGCTTAACAGTCAGGCAGAGCGCTGGGCTGAGAAAGTGCCTGCATTGGTTTTTGTTTTGCTTTCAGTGTTCCACCTTAAATGTTTTAACTGCGTCTTATTAGTCCAGCATGCAGAGTGCGACAGGTCTGGCCATAACAAAGCAGGTGACGTGCTCTGATTCAGACTAGAGGGCCAAGGTTAGCCACTTACCAAAGACCCCCGCTTGTATTGACTATACCATGTGGAAGGCTGTTCTTTGGGCCAACGAGCCATTTTACTCTGTAAAATATGACACGGGTTAAAGAAAAACAGAAAGCAGTGAGATGCATCTTACCAGTTTACCGCGCTTGAATTCACTGAACCAGGAGCCTGGGTTTTCCTTTGGCCAAGAAGTAATTCTAGCCTAGTTTGTGGACGGCAAGTTGCAAAGGAAAGAGAGAGAAAGAAAGAAAAAAAAAGAATTAAAAAAAAAAGTTACATTCAGTTCCACAAACAGAGTCTGCACGTCTTATTGAAATTTGTCCAGTTTTCCAAAGAAACAAGTTTTCTTAACCTTTATACACCAGTGACAAAACCAGTCTGCTGAGCCCTAAGGTCCCAGCAGCCTCTATATGAGAATATGAATGGCATGGCGCTGCGTCGGGGCGTTCCACCGCTGCACAGCAACGTGGATGGCTTTGGCACCACCCTCCTTTGCTAAGGGATAAAAATCTGTAACCCTAGATACTTTGGATGTGAAACTGTCAGCATAGTCTCTCGGCAGGAAAGGAAACAAGGAGATATTAGTAAATGATCCATGATCTTCATGGGAGGGCTGGGCTGGAAAAGCAATGCTGATAACAGAGAAGGCTGCTGTCACTCTAAGTCAAATCTAGATGTTGCGGGGCTGGGAAAGGTGAAGAAATCGGGATTAAGAGAAAGCTTCCATCTGCCTCCTGCATTTGCGTAGCAGTAAGGTGCAGCCCAGCGAGCACAACCTCCTCCACAGGCAATGAACCGTCATATGTGATGGGGCTCCAGCTACCTGGAGTGATGCCAGGGGTGACCTTGACAAGAAACGAGCTGTCAGAGCATCCTTTATGGGAGACCTGTCTAAGCAGCTGAATCATTTTTTTCCAGTCAAAACATGAGGAAGGAGTGTGTTTACAGTTCACTCCCTTACTCTTCCACAAGCTCCCTCACTTCTGTTGTAAATCTCTCCAAAAACAACGGCTGAATATAATATAGGTGTCTGGAGACTGTCCTTTCCTTTCCACGATGTGAACCATAAAGTGAGTCAGTGCGTTTCTGCAGTGCTAAGGATGGACTAAAACAGGATATGCCTTAAACTCTACTGTGGCTTATAACAAAACCACTCAGCCAATACTTAAAGCTAGTGTGGTAGCTGTTCTCACTCCTCTACGTGGAAAAATAGCAGGCTGAATCTTCTTCTCATTTATGACAGCATTGCAAAAGTGAAACAGCATTTGCATTTGAGGAGCATCACAGCCCGTGGCCGGAGGACTGACTCCACAGTCAACAAGGCAGGGTTAAATAGCCTCTTACAGAGTCAGTGTAACAGGAATCCGAGCAACTGTAAGATTATAGGCAGATTTTGCTGTCTTAGAAGTCAGCATTTTGAACAGAACCAGGGCAATTAAATGCAAAGGAGAAGAAATCTTCTCCTATCTAAATAGCCCTAGCAAAAACTCAAGGAAGATTTATGTTGCAAGCTATTTGTCCTATGCTAGCACATATTTCTGGTGAACGAAATTCTCTCAGCAGCCAAATGTCCTTCTACTGGAGCAAACAACTTTGTCTGCACCGTAGTCCAGCTGCAGCACAACTATGAAACCAAGAGAGCTCCAATAGGCCCTTTTGCAAGAGTTTCCACTTGGCCAGTACAAGACTCAGTCCCTGGACATTGCAGAGACCAGTTCCACCAAACAGAGTAGATGGATACAGGACAAAAATGTTCTGAGTATGGATGAGCTAAGCATATCAGCACATCTTCAACTGTGTGCATCAGTGGCAGGACACCGCTGAGGCTAGTATCACTCATTTAGGAACCCAAATATCCGCAAGAAACACCAGAAAAAAAATAGAGGAGATAAACATTATCTGTTCTGCCCAAAGACAAAGAAAAGATGGAGGAGTCAGCTGTGCTTATGCATGCATACAGCAGAGCAGCAGCCTGGCTACAGGATGAACAACAAGGGATGAGTTAAATGAATCTCCAGTGGACCCACAGTTCTGGTGCCAACACAGACTTCTGCCTTTGTAAAGCAAAGTAAAAAATTAAGGTTTTAGCATTTATCGTGCCTGGGAAAACATCAAAGACTTGTCCTGAAACACAATTTAGAACCAACTTACTCAAAGAAATGCTCTTTGTATACATATTCCTTATTATTTTAGAAGCCAAATTTGTACAACAAAGAAACGTTCTGTATCTTTAATCTTTACTTTGAATTGTTGATTTCATCTGAAATTGACTGTCTGTGAATATTCTTATTAGGAAACAATATATTATCATCACAAGATGAGGTGGGGGGAGGTTGTGAGGACTTACTCCTTCAGATTTCTTGTCAGGGAAGATGCAAGTCTCTCCACCAGCTGTGAAATTACAGTAAACCTTGAAAGAGTCCCTGGAACATCCTTGGTTCGGATCAACCCAGTATTCACCTGAATTGATGAAAGAGGGAAGAGAATGGAAGAAAGAATCAGCATTATGAAGGCAGAATGATTGGAAGGTCAACAACCATCTCACCAAGGACATTTCATCCCAGTGATAGACTAATACTATATGTATTCTTGGAAAAATGGTTATGCCCTTTTTCCAGATAATACTGTGGCACCTTACGAGAGTAGCTATTTTGCATCATATGCACCCATTCTTCTCTGCTTACTGCTTCTTCGGCCAGCCACATTTCTCTTGGGGTACCAGGGCTGGGGAGTGCCCAGTTATTTCTCTTATTGCACTCGCTTGCATTCCCTGTGCGGAGCTGTGAAAACCACCGTTTTCCCCACATGCCCTCCACCCCAGGACGCACCGTCTGGGAAATCAGGGTGACAGAGCTGCAGGTCCTTGCAGGTACGAGCTGGGTTGTGTTGAGTGCCCAATGGATGCTTCATTTGCTCAATTTCCAGTTTCAAGGAATTCAGCGAGCCAAAAATTTCCTCCATGCCATCTGCATAGTCCATGTAGTTGTCGGCGTTTCCATCATCCACCAGCTGGCTGGCATCAATGTTTCGCCTGGTCCTCTTGGATGCCTGGATGGGCAGGGGCTGGATGACTTCTCCAGGAGGACCCTGATTTGTGAGGGAAGACGACAGAACTTCTTACCACACTGGAAACAGGGAAGAGACTGCCAAAGAGGCCATCAGCCAACAGTGCTGAGAAACAGCATCACAAGATACATTATTAGACATGTAAAACATCCACGATGGTACTGATGAAAACCTCAGCCAAGCTTGAATGCTGGCTCCATCTTCTCTCTTCTGTCTCCCTGTTAGTAACTTCTCCCTTCACATCCTGCCTTCCTCCCCAGCATTTCTGAGACGCCGCTCCATTGCTAGAGCTCACTGTCTGCTGCATCTTTGTCTAGAAATCTTCTATTTCCTAACATTACAACATCCATTAAATCTGAATTTCATTCCATACTTATGCCATGGGTTCTACTTACAGGAGGCCCTGGGGGCCCAGGAAGACCTGATTCACCCTTTGGACCTGTTGGACCCTGGATGGAAAAACGGAGGGATAAACATGAGTCACTCGGGAAAAAACATTTGTCACTTATATCACACCCCAAACACTATTCCTAATAACAGTCTCTTGTGGCAAAGATTTTCTTCCTGTCCCTTTGGGAACACAGGAGGAGCCTCTTCCCCTCCTCCAAGAAAAAATTGTTTTTGGTTATTTTATGGTGCTTGGGTAAGAAAACAGTCAGTTAAATATTGTGGTTAAATAGTAAACTTTTGCTTAGGCTTCCTATGGGAAAAGAAGGATCTTTCAATGCATGAAAATGTTAACCATCCAAATCAATTCAACATTTTATAAATCAAATAAAAAACCTAAAATGAATGACCACTGGATTCCGCATGGGCAAAAGACTTTAGGAAGTTGCCCAAGAGGAATTTTTAGCTGCATGTATAGGAGAGCTGTTACATGAAACTTGCTTTAGTGTGGCAATTCTCACCGAGTTCTTTGCTTTTTAGCTTGCCACCTCCCGCTGCACAGTCTATTTTTACTATCCTCTGCTTTACAGTAGTAGGTTTTCTCCTAAGGAGTATGCACTGGATTCCTCCTTATGATCTTTGCTACATTGATGTTGAATAAAGTACAGTGTGTGTAACAGAAACATTTCCCAATTATAATTTCTGGATTTAGACAGCCTGAAAGGGCCTCATTTGCTACAGTCATCTTTAGCTAATTGCCTTAATGCCACTGATGCGGAGCAGCAGCAGCAGGTCATACACTTAATAAGAGATCCTCAGCCTCTTCATTTAACAATGTCTATACTTACTGATGATCCTTTAGCACCTTTGGGACCAGGTGGACCCTGTACAGAGAAAAACACAAAAGGGAGTTAGCATCTTTGTCATCAGAGAAGACGTCATTCTGCCTCTCTCCTTAGAGAGAATAATGTTGCAAGCTTTTGTAATTTGTTTTAAATCCACTTCCTTTCTGTTTCCATGTTTCACACCCATTTGAATTGGATGTTGCTTTTATTTGCAAACATAGTAAAAGGATGTGTGTCTGACCCATCTCCCTGACTGGGGACTGGAAAACCTGCTGTGTGGTTGCCATAACCCAGGGCTCCTGGCTCCACAGTAAAGATGCCCAGCAAGAGCGAACGTTGGTTGCCAAGTGTGCAGAGCACAGCCTTCAGACGTCCAGTGAAGAAAAATACAAATACCAGCACGTACAAGAAAACACCGTGTGATTGCAGATAATTTCAAAAGAAAGGGGGAGAGAAACAGGGCAAGTTAATTTCACTGCCCCAACAACTGCCAAGACGCGTGGACCACAACGTGCCCCTCTGCCTGCAGTGCTCTTCTTGCGGCTCACTGCCTGCTGAGCCACGTGGCTCTTCCCCTGTTACCACCCACCGGATACTCTCATTCAAACAATTTTAGTGGGCTCAGCGAACCCCACTAGCAAGCACTTCCTCATGCGAGGGAACACCAGGAGGATTGTGCTGGGTATCTGGGAACACTAGGGTGCCTCCAGAAGGGCTATGTAGCTCCCAAAGAATTCAGAGACAACTACTTTTCACATACCGGTAATCCTGGTGGCCCTGGGGGTCCGATTGGTCCAGAAGGACCTGTGATACCCTGAAAAATAAAAGCAGCAAAGCATTTGAATGCATCAGTGCTGGTCTATAACTACACAGCTAACCTCTAATAGTCACAACCGACTATTTGATTTTGGAGGTCTCCATTCAAATTTGGAGTTTCATCTGGTTTTTAGATGTGCACACGGTCCAGACAAGAGTGTAAATATTTAATGTTAGCATCCCTCCAAGTTTATTCAGCTCTTTTCACATGACCCTTGAGCATCTACTTCTCCACCAAAACGAGGTCCAGAACGACCCATCTCTACCTTTCACGTATAGAATAAAGCACAGTAATGCAGGAAGTATTCCTCCAGAATTAGCAAGACTGTCCTGCTGAGACAGTGTCTGCCCATCTCAGCTATTATACACCTGCTCAAAGGTAACGAATCCCACCGTTCAAAGGCACATGTAACAAAGGTCTTCTGGAAGGTTTACCTGCTCTCCTTTGGGGCCTGCTGAGCCCTGGGGTCCTGGGAGACCTCTGTCACCTTTTTCTCCCTGCTCACCTGGCGGTCCAATAAGACCAATTAAACCTGGATGACCCTAAGGGAAAACAGCAGATGTTAATTATGATCTTTTTCTCTGCAGGTGACCAAAAAGCCAAAATTTCCCATGAAAGACATTTCTAGATATAAAAGCAAAAAACTAAGGAAGGTAATTGTAGCTATTCCTGATACCTGGAAGTCCCAGAGCAGTAACGAGCACTAGGTTTTTGCAACAAGAAAACGCTACAAATACAGAAACAGAACAGCTGCACTAGAGCATCTGCTCATTTCACATGCTAATGTATATTACAGAAATTTCTACAAGGTTGAGAACCATGCCCTCAAGCAAGCCAGGTGCCTGCATTTTCCTATGCCCTCTGTTAGCGAGTCTGTGTTTAGGCAGCCAAGATGAGGACAGCTGCCTGGGACTTTAAAGGCCAACGTATGGGAACGGAGTGATTCAGCTCCCCTGTACTGTGTCGCTGTCATCAGTGCCCAGTGATGACAGGGATGGGGCAGAGACCCAGCCTTGGATCCAGACGAGCAGCAATATATGCTCACACAGAGCATGTATAGTTCAGTTCATCTCTTGGAGCAGATTCATAGCCAGCCCCCTCCATCTCTCCTCTAAAAAAAGCCCAATACTTCCACAGTCTTTGAGAAAGTGCACATGGCCTGTGACTGTCCTCAGCCTTATGCTGCAAGCTGCAGGGTTCCTTTACAATGACATGTTTTCCCCACAGCCAGACATGGGCACCAGGCTGTGCAGTGATACTGTGTGCAGTGCTCTCACCTTTTCACCTTTGGGACCAGAGTCTCCTTTAAGACCAGGCAAACCAGGTGGGCCCTTTGGGAGACAGAAGAGGGTAAAATAAATAAATAAAGAGAGAGAGAGAATATGAATATACGTAAAATTTGTACATTTATGTTTATTGTAAAGAGTCATAGAATTCAACCAGCCTGGACATACCATTGGGCCTGGAGGACCGTCTGGGCCAGGGGAGCCTGGGAGACCTTGTTCACCCTGTAAAACAATGCAATCCACTCAAACTAATCATCCACAATAGAAGTGTTCTCCAGCTGTGATTATTTTGATTATTCACCCATCCTTATCTGGTCACTGCGGCTGGAAAATGTTTGCCCTCATTTCTCATGGCAGGTAAAGGCAAAAGGACTTACGTTCCTTTCCTGCTCAAGTCTCCACTGGAAAAGCACTTGGGATCTCATGAAAATGTTACCCAGACAGTAGACGAGCAGACCCAAGGCTCAGATAAATCATGCTGGGAGGCGATTTCCATCAGTAAGTTATCTCCACTAATACACCTTACCTGCTGTCAGGTATCCAAACATAGAAACTATCAGCTCACTTGTAACAGAAGATTACCCTGGGAGAAAGCCGTCTTCCAAAGCAGATGGGTTACAGTAAAGCACAGAAAGCTACCCCGTTCAGTAGCGTTCTCAGGCTTTCCTCAGTTTGGGAATACTCACAACTGGACCAGGAATTCCTCGAAGGCCATCGGGGCCAGGTTTCCCTGGAGCACCTTGGGGACCAATTGGGCCCGTCTTCCCAGGAGGTCCTTCCAAACCAGCTTCACCCTAGATACAAGGGACAGTATAGTTTAATTTGCATCAAACGATCTTCTCAAATATTCAGTGAGTACTGGCAGGACATCATAGAATGAATGCAGTTCCCTGCAGAATATTTAAAACTTTCCATTGGTTGAATTTCCTACTGCTTCCTATCCCTTAAGTGCTGAGAACAAGCCTCTGAACGGCCTCACTTTTCAGCCTCGCCTGTTTCTGCTGATTTACAGCAAAAAAAAAAGCAGGAATAGTACTTCTGCTGCAAGCTCTCTGGAGCAGGAAGCTTTCCTTTGTTTGCTCCTGCTGGATGAACTCGCCTTCATGACCAGCAGCCTTGGGGGCTGCCACAGCAATTCGATATATAATTTGCAACCCCAGTCTACATTTGTCTCACCATCCCTACCGAAATAATCACTGTCCAGTAATGCTGCGTTTGCCCTGAGACATGAAGTAGGGCTGTGCATACCATGTTATTTGCAACACACTGAATTGCCAAATATGGCATTCAGTCATTTCAGAAAAAGAAAAACATTCCCATAACCTTACCAAACCCTAATCGTATCCAAGGAGTTTGTTAGAAGACAAAGCATACACTTAGATTTGAAGCCCATGGCCCCAAATTCAGGCTAATTTGTTGCAATATACAGCAAAATCAAATCACTTTCTTTCAAAACACAATGTTATCAGAGGGTGAATGTTTTGGCATGCATAGGATAGAGTAGAAGTCAAAACCCGTTCAAACCTTACCTTGGCTCCTTTCTCTCCTTGTCTTCCTTCGGGACCGGCTGGACCAGGGGGACCCTAGAAGAAGCACAAAACAGATACAAAACATGGTTTGATTACCACTGTCTAGTGGAATTATCAAAATGATGCTACAGCCCCAGGGAAGATGACACCATGGAGACAAATATCTCTGAAAAGCTTTATAAATTAGCTTCTTGATAAATTAATCCCTCGGCTCTGCCAGCAAGGGAGGAAAAGTAGGAACACTTAATATTTATGTTTTCATTCGGGTGTTAAAAACTATCAAAAAAATCCCAGAATTTAGTCAACAGCTTCCCATCAATTTCCAATGGCTGTGGATGGCACATCACTTTAAAAAAAAAAAAAAAAACACACCCACACAACTACTGCTTTGCATTTCCTTCAAACCTAAAAATAACATTACTTTCAAAAAACAAATCAGTACAACTATATCCAGAAAAATATTCCTAAATAATCAGCTTACCCTTTTTCCTGGTGGTCCAGAGGGGCCTGGCTCTCCTGTGGGACCAGGGGAACCCTAGATGGAGAGTGGAGGAGAACAAGCCATAAACATACCACAGGATGAGGAAGGGAAGAGCGAGCATGTAAAACTTGAGCTGAGATCTCGAGTTGGTGCTAAGCCTAGGTGTAGGCGGTCCACACAACTTCTGACACCTCCTCGGAGGTGCAGGTGGTATCTTGTTTTATCCCTTCCCATAACGTAATGCCATAAGGCACAGCAAACATAAAATTAAAGGCTAGATTTTGTTTCTTCTTAGGCTAATTCTTCCTTTCAGAACGTATTGCCAAGCAGCCAAAAAAAAACTTCACCCAGGCTCAGGAAGACAGGATGGAAAGAGAGGGTTTTACAGACATCGGGTGAAGTCAGTGTAGTGGAAGCTGGTGCGAATTAGATGCTGCACGTCCTTCTGTGTTAAAGTCCTTGGACTTCAGCACAGAAATTGCTGGGACTGAACAACACAGATCCTGTCCATCGTTTTACTCACAGTCTGCCCAGGTTCGCCATCATCACCTTTGTCACCAGGGGGACCATCTTGACCCTAAAAAGGGAGAAGAAAGAAACAAGCAGGCTTATTGAGGGTATGAGCGGAACTGAATGGAGTGTCAGCAGTAGCAGGAGTGGTTCCGCTCATTTTCACGTCACCAGGCACCATCCCTTCCCATCAGGAAAG